GGACGGGAAGGCGGGGGGGGGTGGTGTGTGGGACGGGGACGGGGACGGTCACCGGGACCCCGCGGGCCCCCCCCCGGGCTGTGGGTGAGATGTCCCGCACCGTGGGCGCCCCGCGGCAGCCGCCGGAACCGGTGCGTGGCTCCGGGTGCGCTTTTACGGGCGTTAAAACATTTTATTTTTTTGTTTATAAACTCAGGGTTCGGCTTTATTTTAAAGTTTGTTTACACGGCCACAGCGCCGCCCACGTACCGCATCTATTTATATACAATATGTGTGTTAAAATGTATGTATTGTATCAGTATCTATTAATATTTAATACACGTGTGTGGGTGTGTGTGTGCAGGTGGAAGTGTAGGTGCATGAAATTGGACGAGATGATCCTTGAGGTCCCTTCCAAAGTGGTATTTGTGACTCTTTTATACATATGTATCTATATCTATATCTATATATCTATATCTCTATCTGTGAGGGTGGTGAGACACTGGACCAGGTTGCCCAGAGAAGCTGTGGCTGCCCCATCCCTGGAGGGGTTCAAGGCCAGGCTGGATGGGGCTTGGAGCAACCTGGGAGGTGTCCCTGCCCAGGGCAGGGGGTTGGAACTGGAGGATCTTTAAGTTTCCTTCCAACCCAAACCATTCTATGGGTCTATGATCTATCTATATGTCTCCCATGTCATATATATTTCTGCCATCACATATATCCCCATACTACGTTTGTGCTGACTGTATGTATAGGTCTTATACATATTTGTGCTTATATGTCCTCATACGCCGTGTGTTTGTGTTTCTCCACCCACGTATTTCTGCCCAGACCTGTGTTTGCACACCCTTCCATGCCAAAGCAGGGTTGCCCAGAGCACAGCACTCAGGAGCATCCAGGTGGGGCTTGAAGATCTCCAGAGAAGGGGACTCCACACCCTCCCTGGGCAGCCTCTGCCAGGGCTCTGCCACCCTCACCCCAAACAAGTTCTTCCTCACATTGCAGTGGAACTTCCCATGGTCCAGCTTGTGCCCGTTGCCCCTCGTCCTGTCACTGGGAACCACTGGAAAGAGTCCGGCTCCATCCTCCCTCAACCCACCCTTTAGATACTTGTCAGCATTAATAAGGTCTCCCCTCAGCCTTCTCTTCTCCAGGCTCAAGAGCCCCAGCTCTCTCAGCCTTTCCTCATCAGGGAGATGCTCCAATCCCTCCACCATTTCTGTTGCCCCACACTGGACTCTCTCCAGCAGTGCCCTGTCTCTCAGTGGAGCAATTTCTCCCAATATCCCCCCAAACCCTCCCCTGGCGCAGCCTGACTCCGTCCCCTCTCCCCCTCACCCCTCTCTGACCGGTGTCCGTACCCGTGCCTGCACCGCCCGT